ATATATATTGCATTAGCTGAGGATCATGTCAGTCAGTCTGGAAGTTGCAACAGGTTCTACATATTGCTTGTTTAATTGGGATCATCTTTATTGCACCGTTGTTATTATTATTTGTTAATTCCTATATCAAGCCAGCATTAAAATGTAAATCTTACGCAACATGCAGCGTGACGTTATCTCAGAGGAAGGCTATTAGCAGTGGATTTTTTTTGCATATTGTTTTGTTCTGTGTTTAAAGCACTTCAAGTCTGAAAAACATCTTTGACCAAAGAACACACATCTTTCCTTTAAAAGGCAGGGCACAGAAAGTGATTTGCACCAAATTCAATAAAATTCTTGTGTAACCTTTTTGTGACCTCGCCCATCGTGTCTGTTCTTAGGGAGTTGAGAGGAGCGACTGGGGGAGATAATAAGCTCGCCTGCTGATTAGGATGAATAGAATGAATAATTGGATGTGCAAAATAAAAGAAGGGATTGGGCGGCAACAATGAAGTGGACTTGGAGAGGGCACCTCATCTCAAGACAAGCTCGCAGAAAACTGAGCTGCTGAGGAACTATGATCCCAGCCCACCTCCCAAGGCCATTGTAAAGGAAGAGCCGAGGCTCAGGTGTCATTGTATTTTCCTATAGCTCACCATGTGGAACCGTCTCGTCTCAAGTGACCCGCAAGTATTTTACTATAGAAAGTGACACCACCTCGACATGGAGAGATGCTGTCTGAAATATGTTATGCAAACAACTTTACATCTTATTTTGTATTTTTTGGGAGTTTTCAGGTGCACCAGTGACTAACCGCTAGACAGAAATAGTAAAACTATAAACAGTTACCAACACCGGAGGCTGGACTCTGTATGTAAGTCATCCTCCGTGCTGAAAAACCATCTTAGTTGCTCGGTGCATTGAATTGTACTATAAGACTGATCAACGTAACATAAATTACTGAGTCGCCTTCACACATTGTTAGAACAGCTGCTTTATTAAGTAGAACAACATTAGTGGTTTTTTACAGCTGCACCTGTAGCTATTCCACTGTTCAAACACCTGGTTTCCACTGATTGATCGTTCCCACATGTGAGCTTCACTCTGGGCTTTTTTGATCTTTACTTGTGCAATTTATTTTAATTGTTTGTGCCCACTTTCACAAGCTGAATCATCCATATTAAACCCAGACTCTGCAATTTCAAATATGAAGTGACGTCTACGGTAAAAAACTCTACGAATAGTTTTAATACAAAACTATTCGTACATTATGTCAAACTGAACTAAGCTGAGATAAAAAGCGAGATGAGGTCATTGAACTCTCGGGCAGGATTGCATAATGTTCATTCTCTTCATCCTGTGTCTCCTTTGTACCTGCACATCAGTGATTTCTTTATACACAGGCAGAAAAGTGCACCACCTGAAACAGCCCACTGGTCCCTTGATACTTGCTGTCCTCAACTCCCACAATATTGAGTTATTTAAATGTAAAGCAGGCAGATTATTTATTTACGTTGACTGGATTTATGCTTCGGTTGATTGACAACCTCTTGTGTTTTGAAACAACAAACAAATTCATTTAATTTATGCCATTAATTATGCTACCAGATGCAAACCATATTTGAAAGTGAAAAGCTAAAATTGCCTGTTTAATTTGTCCCATTTTTATAAATATGCACAGCTATAATAACTAGCATATAAGCATGATTTATAATAACCTAGATCAGAAACTCGCAAAGTTAACACACTTACCAGTTTGGTGTGTAGACTAAACTGGTAAATCGGAGTTTCTGCTGTGCGTGATTAAACCATGTTTATTCCTCATTTTAATGCTTTCTCGCTCTGCATTCCTATTGTACTGAATAATAATAGGTGTTTTGGATCAAAGAAAATGCCAGCTTATTTTTATCACTTTTGTTTTAACCCTGTGCGAATTGGAAGCTTGTCGATATCCTGCTGTGATATCAGCAGGGAAGGCCAGAATCTGATGCCATAATTAAATTAATTAACCCTGCATGCATGAAAGGTTTCTGGTGGAAAAATCCACACAAACTATAATACTATAGTTATGTTAATTTGTGCTTAATTTAAGCTATACTCTATAACACAGTACCTGCTCTGTGGATTTTACACGACACAATTAAACTGCTAGTTCAATTTGTGGTGCTTACACTTATCAGGTCAGGTATCATTGCGTGGCATTGCTCATATTGAGAGTTCTGGGTTCGTGGGGACATGTCCTTGCTTGAAAAGATGCACATGACTTTGGTTTAGTCTAATTCAAGGATTTTTAACAGCTATTTCAGATTATTCTGATTGAATTGCAGCAGAATGACTGGTTGGTTCTGTTGGGAATTCTTAAAAGTAGAAATTGCCGTTTCCACTGCCACAGAGCAATGATATTTGACACAGAACGACAATAGATTCAGGCCCCAAGTTCAGGTTAAAGTTTTCTCTCCATATCTTACCTTTACGATTACTTGTCCTACACCAGGTTGCAGAACTAAAAGATGGTATCTTCTCTCCCAGTATCCCTGTTAACCAAACTGAAGCATTCTCTCCATCTGCCACTACAACTCCTCCTTCTTTGTTGCTAATCTAATACTGAAGAAAACCACTCCTTCGTCTTCAGCAAAAGGATAAGGCTTCTTTTGAATTTCTTCATCCTTCTTTGATTTCTCTCTCTCTTTCTCTCTCTGTCGTTTTCAGGTGCTTTTGCGAGGGCAGGTGAAGCGGTGCTCTGACGAGGCTGAATCGCACCAGAAACCTTGGCCCAAGCCGCCGTTAGTCAGCGCTGGACTTGCAGAACAGGTGCAAAACGAGAACTATCCAAGTGAAAATTCAGGTTTTTGTATCTCCATCTTCAGAGGCATTGTCTTCAACTGGTGTTCATCCCTAATTTTTATTTGTAATTAGTCTGCCTGTCATATTTTCCATAAAACTACTTATTAACAGAACAGCTCTCTCTATCAATCTTTTGCAATCTGATCTGGTTGGACTGCTGTTCCCTCTCTCGCGCACACACTCTCTCCCTCTGACTGTTTCTTTCTCACTCTCCCTCTCCCTCCCTCCTTCCTGTGGTGTCACAGAAGCTGCCATTTGCAGCCTCCCTCTCTCTCTCTCTCTCTCTCTCTCTCTCTCTCTCTCTCTCTCCTCCTTCCCTATTCTCTTTTTTTTCTCTCTCTCTCTTGTTGTCTTCCTCCCTCCCTCTCACATCATGGTACTACCAGTTGACAGCAACTTGATGCACAGACGTATCATTCAGAAAACACACGCAGACCATCAGACATAGTTAATCAAAAGTAGATGAATAGCTCTTAATTCACCACCTTTCTGAGGGCCATTTGTTCAATTTTTACTCTGTAGATGAATGTGATCCTATATTTAAAAAGTAATTGAGGTTACTCTGTTATGTACTTCAGGTTCAGGTGAGAATATTGACGTGACCAGGGCAAAATGATAATGTGTCTTTTTGACCCTGTGGTAGCCAATTCCACGAATGAAAGGCTCCATGGGTTCAAAATATCATGCTGCTGGGTGCTGTGTCTCAGGGAAGGGAGATGCCTTTCACACTTGTCACCAACAACTAATCAAACACATCTGACCACAGGATGTGTGTGTGTGTGTGTGTGTGTGTGTGTGTGTGTGTGTGTGTGTGTGTGTGTGTGTGTGTGTGTCTGTGTCGTGGGATCATAATTCAGTCTCCGGTTCTATTATTGGATCTGAGTGTCTTCAGGCTGAGACCAAACCTGTTTCTGTCAGCGGGACAGCAGCTAGCTTAGCAGGAA